ATACATGTAATAATGCAGAGAATATATATTTAAAATGTATATATATATATATATATATATATACATTCATATATATATATATATATATATGTATATATATATACATTCATATATACATTTATAAATATATATTTATATATATTTATAAATATATATACATATATATATATGTATATATATATAAATATATATATTGTGTGCTGCAGGCCAACGAAAAATGGAAAATATCAAAAATGGAGAATTTATGGAATTGAAGCACATTAGAAAAGAGTGGGAAGAGAGAAGAATAACAAATCATGAATTGAAAGGGAAACTTTACAATAAAAAGCTCGCAGTATAATTTTTAAAAAGTGCAATAGACATTGTATATCCAATACATACCTATGTTACACGACAAAGAGTTACTGGTTGAGATGCTTTTGTAGGCAATTGGCGAGGGTCTTAAAACATTGTTGTTTTCGATACTACACGATGATTCGTTTGTCGACCAGATTGCTTGTGTAAGTGTAGTTGGTATTGCAGAGCTCGCATGGATTGCTGAGCTTGCATAAGGTGGTACGTACGCTGCGCTCGGATGGTACGCTTGTACTGAAGGTGATGAAACTACAAAGTTACCAACGGCACTTCCACTTTGGTCCTATGAAATATGGAAATTAAATAGTAAAGTGTTTTAAAATTCACAGTTATTAATCATCATAATCATCATCATCACCATCTTCTTCTTCTTCTTTATCATCATCTGCTTCTAAAGGGTGACGGCGGTGGTAGGAATAGATGACGATGATAATGATGATAATAATGACGATGATGTAACGATGATGGTGTCGGTAAAGGTGACGAATTTGGTGACGGTGACGGGGACAGCGACGACGGTGGTCTAGGCGACAGTTGCCACAGCAGCTGCGGTGGCAACCATTATGATAATAATAATTATTATATTGTGGGTTAATATAGTAATAATATATTAATACTAAATAATAATAATAATAATAATAATAATAATAGAATCAGAATTAGAATAATTTGTATTGTTAAAAAATCGTTGCAAAGTTATGAAAATTGTTTTCCTTGTTACAAAGTAAATAAAAAGTATAAAAATATAGAAAAAAAACCATCAAATAATGGATAATAATAGTCAATTATAATATTTTTTTAAATAATAATGCTAATAATTGTTATTATAAAAATAGTAGGCCTAGCATTGATAAAAATATATATCACGGTTGTCTATATTATTATTACCTTTATTTCAGCTTCGTAGTGTCCCACATTATAGTTGATCTGCTCCTTATAGTTACTAGGCTGCCGCCTATAATCCGTTAGTGAGATGGCGTGAGCATGTGCTGGAATCGTGTTTTCACCAGCCGCCGTATATAAACCGGTTGGGAACGAACCTTCACAAAAAACGTGTTAAGAAAAAGACTAGTTATAGTATGCAATGTTAAATACATTGTCAGGTATGAAATATAGAAAGAAAGCGTCACTACATATAAAAGAATGAAGTGGACATACCGTATCGAAACAATTCAGTTTTAGCCATAGAGCTACTAAACAACTAGAGTGCTGACAAGATGGCGGAGCAATGCAGAGTTGTGTATGTGTACCATCCAAGATGGCTGCCGTAGGAAAGCGCCACCTTCAGGCTTAGTATGCATATTATTACCAATACACATCTAGATGTGTATAAGTAAATAAGCCCTCTGACTGAATATTATTTCATTAATGATAATTAGTATTGATAATGACAAATTATTAAACTGTCGTAGCCAAAACGAGGCCAAGTGGAGCATCTTATTTAAAAAAAAGTACCAAGGAATGAAAATTAAAATCGTGTGCATTACACCCAAACACCGCAACGCTCGAGTTTCAAACATAGCTGTACTGAACTTTCTGTGTAAATTGAGGGCACATTGAAAATGATAGTGCTCAGGCGAAATTTGATTGGCTGAATATATGGCAGCCATCTTGGATGGTACACACACACAGCTCTGCGTATTTCGAACATCGAATACATTGCGGTTAGCGCTCTAGTATTCTTATTATATCTCTATGGTTTTAGCTGACTTACATAATTGTTACTACAACAATCAATACCACAATTCTTCAATTATAAAAGTAATTTTGTTTAAACTATTTACATTTTCTTTGAATAACAGTCTGTTTAGGACTACAAAATGTGTTAAAGCTATAAAGTTCACTCTTCATTTGGCCATGAATACATTTTCGCATGTTGAAACACCGAATTACAAGCCAGATTGAATCACGAATGGGTAGTCGTTAAACCTAAAATTAAAATAGACTGTTTGTGCCATAGGTTAAATTTAGCTACAATAAATAAAGAATCGAAAATGAGATATTGTAAATGCTATTTTTTTTTTCTTCTTTTTTTATTACGGTTAGCCAACATATTCATAATCTGACATTAGCTAGGGCATATAAAGATTTTTCTTTTTTTGAGAAAGCTGATAAAAGTTTTTGTGTCTATTGCCCTCTCGGGGCATAGATACTATGTTATTGTCTGGCAGTTAACCTTGTAAAAGCAAGTAAATCCGGTGGAGGTGCATGATTGGTACTACCAAAGATATTATAATTACAATGTAGCGATATCCGCGATTCTACGCGCAACAAAATTAAATAGTAAAAAGAGGCATAAAAAGTAATTGTAATTGAGAGAGGGCGTCCAGTTGTTATTATGGTGGTTGTTTCAGAATTTGCACGTAGATCCTAGATGTCAAAGCTCAAAAGAAATTGTATTTGCGGAAGGGCGCACTACACAGCGTTGCTACAGAATTTGCACGTAGAAATCGCAGAGAAAGCTTTCTAGTTATTATAAGATCTTTGGTACTACTACCACGAGGTAAAGGCAAGCTCAGGTCGACACGGAACTGAAAGGAACTCAACTCAACTGGTCGACATGAAAGGAACTGAAAGGAACTTCACTCATGCTTTGTTTGTCCTGTACAGCACGGGTTTTTCCCCGGTAGATCCTGTGTTACACAGACTGCAAGTATATTTCATGAATGGTCTAAAATATTAGATGCATCAAATCCCCCAGTTGTAGACGCTATCTTCCTCGACTGGGAGAAAGCCTTTGATCGTGTGCGTCATTCTAAACTTTTGCGCAAGCTTCACAATTTCGGCCTTTGTGGTCCAATCTTGAAATGGATGGCATCATTTTTAACTGAACGCACCCAGCAGATTGCACTTAATGGGGTATTGTCAGACCGTACAGTTGTGGTGTCTGGCGTACCTCAGGGGTCGGTACTCGGCCCCTTACTATTTAACTCGTTTGTATTTGATTTGCCAATGCATATTTCATCTCAAGTCAGACAATATGCTGATGACACGGTAGTATTTAATTATTTTTCAAGTTTATCTACATTTTTTTAAATTGTAAAATGCGTATTATAATTAAGATCTATTTTAAAAGGGGTTTCTGGGAAACATTTGCTCTGCAGGGATGGATCCAGAAATGTTAGAGGGGGTTATACGGGGGGGGGGGCCGATCGAGATAACACTACACTAGGGGTGCCGGGGCATTCTTCCGCGAAATTTTAATTTTGTAGACGCCCAAAAATAACCTCTGAGGCGTTTTGGCCAATAAACGTTTTTTTTTTTTTTTTTTCCCCCTAGACGTTTGAGGCAGTAGAGATTGGTGGCGCTATAGATTCAAAATATCACCTTCCTGATTCGGCAATAAATCATGAATATATTTATTATTCTTTCTTATTGTCAGAGCAGTTTTTACCCACGTACAGTAAGTGCTGATGGCATGTGCTGCTATAGCGGCATGGCGAGGATGAAGAGTGTTGAACACCACATACTTAGCTCTCCTTTTATTATAATTCTGAAATACATAGGCCTTTTTTTTTAAATGAATAATGATTAGGCTATAATTACAAAAACAAATACTGTATACAGTTAGGTCTCTGCCTAGGCCTTATTTTTTAGGAATGTATCTCAGTCACCACGCATGCCAAAATATGAATACTTATATGTTGTAGGCCTACTTGACGTAAATGCAGTAAAGTACAGTATTAATAAGCACAGTATAGATCTAATTATCATGACAATGACAATAATTAAATAATGCCAATGGTGACGATAAAGATTATGACGACCAATATTTTCAGTATCAACTTTGCTGATAAGTTAATGGGACTTGTTTTCTAAGGCATCAACATAAATTAAAAAATACAAACAATGTGTGATAAATTTTACAATTAATTATAACGTTATATTACCATACTTACTTTTCTTTTTTTTTTTACAGTAATGTGTGTTTTTTAATGATTTCGGATACATTATCCTTGAAGTGGAATTTAACATAAACACAATAATACTAAATATTTATTCGGATACACAAAAGACCAACTACATTATAATTATGGTAATATAATTATTTTTATTAGGCCTACTGTACAGACACACACACATGTATATATATATATATATATATATATATATATATATATATATTATGAAATAAGTTGCTTCATAGGCAGATTCATAGATTCACATAAATTAGAAATCAAACAATTTATGTATCTGTCTCAGAATAAAATATTTATACGAGTACTGTTGTACTATTATTAGTAGTGTTACTGTATTATATTCTTATTTTGGTGTGTAGGTTTATAGGCCTATACTCCGATGGAATTTTGCGTCAGGAGAAATAAAAAACGAAAAAATGTTTGCCCTACCTGAAGTAGTATAGTATTGAATACTCAGTACATTCCCAAATAAAGACCGGAATCATTTGCGAGATTGTTTTGCAAGTATTTAAGAATGTAACACAAAAGTGAAACACATTTCATTTCGTGTAAGTTTTTATGTTGGTGCATATACAATGTACGCGTGAGTGACAATACATTTCTAAAAAAAAAAAAAAAAAAAAAAAAAAATATATAGATACTATGTTCAATAGAACATGAACCCAGTCATTTTTTAAGAGATAACCACTGTGACCCGTAATCTCAACTTGTGAACACCCTATGTTTGGTAGAAGTCTGTCTAATGCAATTGGTCCAATCGTTAGTCACTAGAAATACTTGATAATTTTCTCTATAGTGACCCTTGTGAATTTTTACCTATAGATAAAGAGTAGTTTTTCATGTTTAGATTTTCTAAGGATCATTCCTGGTAAATTCGAGCTCAATTGGGCTATCTTCATGGTCAAATTTGATTGAATTCGGTTCAATCGTTTGCCATTAGTAACATTTTGAACCTTTGACATATGGGGTAAAGAGTATTTTTTTGTGTTTAGAAGGTCCTAAGGATCATTCCTGGTAAATTTGAGCTCAATTGGGCTATTTACAAAATTTAACCCCGATGACCCTTATGTGACCCCTGATCTCAGACTGGGGTGTAGGAGGTGTCGCCGGTTCTTAATGACAAAATTTGATTGAATTTGGTCCAATGGTTTTCCATTAGTAGCATTTTGAAATGTTACTAGAGAGAACAAAAGAATAACCCTTTAATAACCTTTGACCATAAATCGCTGAACACCATAAAGACCCTGCCTTATGCCTATACATATGTACCTATGACAATACTGCTATGTTATTTGTGACAGAAGAGGTCTTTTATTCATTTTTTTGAAAGTTTTTTACCCTAATGACCCCTATATGACATTTGACCCCAAGCAGCGAACACCCCCATGTATGAGAGGTGTTACCGATTATATTGGCCAGGTTTGGTTGAAATCAGTACAACCGTTTGGCAATAGTAGCGTTTTGAAATGTTGCAAGAAAAAAGATAACGAGAGCATCAGTGATGCAATCGCCCACTTGACAATAGCTGGCAATGTTTAAGTGCTGTCGGTTGGTGGAGGTTGTGTGGAGTGTTGTTATGTGAATGCTGGGTTCACTTTAACTTTCATTTTTGTTTAGCCAATTGACTAAAGCTAAAAAAAAAATTAGCCAATTGGATATTTGTTTAGCCAAAATCGGCTAAAATGTTTAAAATTGTTTTAGCCACTTATCATGCACTTAAATGGCCCGAGTGAAGTGTCATGCAAGTGTTTCGTACGGGAAAAAAATCGTGGCCTGGCCATTGACGTTGAAATCATTCAAGCATTCAAGTAAAAACCCCCAAGCTCGAAAGCCATTATTTACCCGGCAGTCGGCTGCTTTAGTTCTGCTGTTGTGTGTGCACTTGGGAATTTGGGGCACGTTAACAGCTAGCCGACCGTCGTGAACATAGAAATTACAGTACAGACAGGAATTACAGTATTGCTTCGTATCAGCTGCGCGTAACCACTCGTAATCTGCTCGTAGGTTATGTTTTGAACGTAGCTACGAACCACTACGAAGGTCATTGTTATTTTAATTAGCTTTGCAAACTTCGTAGGCTGGATCGTCGGGCTGATAAACAATGCGTAAACAATATTGAAATATAGTTTACCAGCTTTCAGCACGTGAACAATGTTGCAATTTACTAATAAACAATGTTAGAACTTACTGTTTTGTTATTTCCTACCTTATTATTAGATCGATCATGTTTTAAAACTGTGTTTAGTTCGATAGCTAGGTAAACCTAG